TTTTTTTTTTTTGTAAAGATTTAAAAAGATTTTTAGGTAGTTTTTTGATTTTTTTTAATAATGAAACTGGTTTAAGAATTGAAGTAGAGAAATGTAATTTATCAATAGGAAATCTATTGACAGCATAATTTTGCGAAAAATCCCTTTTGTTCATTTTCATCGACTAATTGTTGATGTTGAGTAGATTGGTTATTTTGTTGATTATGTTGAGGAATTTGTGATTGTTGTTGATGCAATTGTTGTTGAGATAAATCATATTGGTTTCTATTTGATGGAGAATTTTCATAAGTTTTCAGTTGATTTTGATTTCTAATTGAATTTGAATTTGCTAAAACATCGTTATTATTTAAAGTTTGAGATTCTTGTTTAATTGGAGGTAATGGTCTATTAACTAAATTTTGTAATTTTTGTTGATGTAATTGAGCAGCATTTAATTGTTGTTGTTGTTGTTGAGAATTTGGATTCATACCATTAACATTATTTTGTTGTTGGCCGGTAGTATTATGATGTTGTCTATTTCTTCTTTGATCACGATGACGTCTTTCATTTGGAGGATTTGGATGACCATAACCATGTAAATTAGGTTTCTTATTAATTGATGAATCCCATCCTTTACCACCATTAAGATGTAACCAATCATAATCACCATCAGCATGTTGACCTAAATCATCGAGTATTGATAATAATGACATTCTATATTCCTCATAAGGAGGTTCAGCTTCAAAAGGTAAACTTCTAACTCGATCTAAATATTCCGCAAATTGTCTTGGTAAACCATCACATAAAGTAGTAGCTGGAGTAGTACGTTTTTTATCACCAATTTTTTCATATTTTAATTTATTAGTTTGAGCTTTTAAACCTTGCCATGGTAATTGACCTCTTAAGAAATAAAAAAATACATGACCTAAAGCTTCTAAATCATCTCTTCTCAGTTGTTCTCTACCTAAATGAGTATTAATTGACATATAACGAGCGGTACCACTTAATGATTTTTTTTCTCTATAAGGAATATGTTGTTTGGTTCTTGGATCTCTATATTGTTTAGCCATACCAAAATCAATTAAATGAACATCATTTTCATCAGGTAATCCTTGTCTACCAATTAAAAAATTATCTGGTTTAATATCTCTATAAATTAAATCATGAGAATGAACTTCTTCAATTAAAGTTAACATTTGTATGGCAACTTGAACAACCGTTTTAACACTAAATCTACGACCACACCAATCAAATAAATCTTCTAAAGAAGGTCCCAATAAATCAATAACTAAAATACTATGTAAACCTTCTTGTCCAAAATAATATGCATTTGGAATACCTGGACTACCTTGTAAATGTTTATAAGTTCTATATTCATCTCTTAATTGAGGTGCTTCAGTTTTTCTTGGTTCAAATTTAATTGCAACTGAAACTCCATTTATTATATTATGACCTTCAAATAAAACACCAAATGAACCTTCACCAATTTTTTTACCAATTTTATAATGTAAACCAACTACTGAAGAATTATTTGAATTCGAATTTGATGAAACTGAATTTGGATTTTGAGAAGCAGCAGCGGCAGCGGCAGCAGCCGGATTTGAAGATGAAATTAGTGCTCTATTTGACATGCTATGAGATGAAAGAAACGCCAACTAATCAATAAATAATAATCCAGAAGAAACAAAACAAACCAAAAGGAAACGTATCTTTTGAAAATTAAAGGTAGGAACCAAAAATAAATAAAAAAAATTATGCAAATGTCAATACCAATTCAATAATCCTTGATCAAAAATTAACTGGAATAGATGAATTGATCAACGTTTAAAAGAAAAAAGAATAGAAAAAGAAAAGAAAAACTGATAAAGAACTAGTAAATATTATTTTTCCTTTTTGTTTTTCCCTTCAGTCTTTTCCTCTTCAATTTTTCAATACTTTATCCAACTGTAAGTTAAAGTAACAAACCAAACCGAAAAAGAAAAAAAACCAAAAATTCAAAAAAAAAAAGACAACAGAAATAGAAAAAGTATCAATATCAAATTTTCAAAAATTAAAAATTGATTGCTGACGATTTGATTTACTTTGATTTTGAGAAGCTGGAAAGTTTTCTCTGTGCTTTTTTTTTTTTTCGTTGTTGTTTTTTCTTTCTTTTTTTCTTTTTCGTTGTTCGTTGCCTTTTTGTTTAAAACAACCAAAAAACAACAGAGAGAAAATGAGAAAAAGCTATTTGATTCTGTGAAACCACCAATTAATGAGATTTAATTCAGTTCCAGGTAAACCACTTAATAAACGAATACGAAGGGGCAAAAAATTGCGAAAAACAAAAATGAAAATTCCAACAGTTCAACAGGATAAAAGGCAATTGCCAATTTGTATAGGGCTAGTATGACTGGAAAGTGTGGAAAGACACTAAACAACTAAACAACCAAACAGAACAAAACCAATTAGGTCGAAAACAACTAACAAACAAAGCAAAAGGCAAAAAAACGAAATAAAACCGAAACAACAACTAAAAAACCAAAAAAAAAAAAAAATCCAGAAACTAAAAAAAAAAAAAAAAATTTAGAGGCCAGACGAGGGCGGGCGACTAACGAAACAACAACAAAACCAGGTAAAGGGGGAACAAAACCAAAGAGTTAAGTAAACAGATAAGCTATCGATTAGTTGATCTATCGATTAAGACTCTAACCAACGGAGGAATTGATAACCAAAGGAGGATCCGATAGATTGAAAGAAAAAGAAGGAGAAGAAGAAGAAGAAGAAGAAGAAGAAGAAGAAAGTGGTGATTTTTTTTTTTTGACTGTTCTCGTTTTTTACAAAAACGACAACCCTTTTAAATATACAAAAGAAATTACAACAGATACAACAACCACGGTCTAACAATGATAAGGTAGACGAAGGATGTAGAGAAAGTGATGAAGGGAATGGCTGATGAAGGGAATGGCAATTCCGATTACACGACCCTTATACCGTTAAGAGGGTTTAGTGACGATGAATGTAGACGAACAAAAGATATATAATTAGAACAGAGATTATGTAGGGGAAGATGATGACAAAGCTACAAACCTATTTGAGACTGCCTTTCACTAGGTAGATCAAGTCGCCATTCTTAAAAGAATTGATTGTACGGTGGTTATTTTCCACTAATTTGCAGTCTTGGGGTCCATTTTCCGACATGAAGATGTTTAGTCTCTCCGAGGATTCCAAAGTACTGTTATTGTAGTTTTTAATTTTCAAATGGTCGGTAATACTGTCCAAGGCTCTACCGACGGGCCACTTATTCAGGATGAAGATTGGTTTACGGTCGTTTTCCACGTTGATCTTGCTTAATTCTTCTTCGTTCCCATCGATGTATAGGCACCACATGTAGATTCGATCACTTTCATTGATCTTGGGATCTCCAATGGCGGTTTTCTTGATCTTGGAAAGTTCCACTATTTTGTTGGTGGATTTCAGTTTGGATTGGAATAGTTTACCGATCGTTCCTCTGGGCTGTTTATCTTTTTGTAAACTTAGAAACTTCTTGAACTTGTTGAATGCGTCGGGGCCCTTGACAGTACCCAACTGTCGTTCGATGATATTGGTGGGCTTTCGTTTGGTGTTGGCGATCATCTCATTGATCTTGGCCTTATCCTCATTTCGATCGGGGAATAGCGATTGGGCACTCGGTCTTCCATCGTTATAATTCCCAGGACTCCGGCCCCGTTCGAACTTGGCCTTGCCTCGACACTCGTGGCTGTCCAAGTTTCGGTGCTGTGAGCAGTAAGTGTGTTGGCAGTATTCACATTTGAATGGTAAAAAATCAAGTTGTTGGCATTTGAAGCAGTGTTCTCCGAGGTTCATTAACCCCAGCTCCTTCTCGGGGCTTTTCTCTCGAGCAAATAGGTCTGCGGATGTCATCGTACAGTATGGTTAGCTAGTTGTTTGCACAGGGAACCGGGTCCCTATTTATATAATGTCGGATGGCAAAATCTTTTGCAACTTCCATGATGTTCTTATTTGTCATTTGTTTTTTTTATCATTAATCATTGAAAATAGACCCGTGCACCAATCAGAACAGGGAAGAGGGCTGGAAAAAAAAAAAGTCTATGGTCTTCAGCTTAAGTAGTTGATTAGCACCTTTAAATATGCTATACGACTTGAACGTGGCGTGGCCCACGGGAGATTACAACTCGAAGCCGTCCCCGACACAGCTCACCAACCTTTTCAATACAATCAGCACGCTTTACAGCTTCGGATATACCAAGATCGCGATCAACTTCACCATTAACGAAACAGTGAAGATTCCCATCAATAATGCAAATCAGATAAATCCAATAATGGTTGGATTAATAGACTCTAAATTTCCTAAAGAGCGATACCCCGAGTTGCTAATTTTCACCAGACTAACCCTAGTAATCAGTGAGCCATCTAGAGTGCAAGCATTATCTAAGATAAATTCTCATTTTGATCTAATTGCAATTCAACCAACCTCGGAAAAAGCATTACAATTATCAATAACGAATTTAGATATCGATATAATATCGTTCAATCTAAATTCAAGATTACCCTTCTTCATCAAACATAAAACAATTTGTAGTGCAATAAATAAAGGAATCAAATTTGAAATTAATTATTCGGGAGTTTTATCAGGTAGTGCTGGTTATACCGCTGATACTAATGGAGGATCAAATAATTTAGTAGCCAGTGCATCTCAATTAAGAAGAAATTGGTTCAATAACGTATTACAATTAATAAGAGCATCAAGAGAACGAGGATTGATTATTTCAAGTGGAGCAAATCAACCATTACAAGTAAGAAATTATACTGAAATATTAACCTTATTGAATACTTTGGGATTACCGAATAACAAGGGGAAAACTTCCATCACTCAAAATTCAGAAGCTTGTTTAATCAATGGTAGATTAAGAATAAAGTCTTATAAGCAAACTATAGTTATTGGTAATGCCCAACAAAAGAGATCATTATATGAAAATGAACTCGAGGATAAAACTAAAAAGAATAATGTGAAAAATTACAAAAAAATTAAAATTTAACTAGTTTACATGTTTATAGAGTAATTAATGCATTTTCGTAATAGTCGTTATATAATCAATTGAATATTGATGATTTGATGGGAGTAATTTTACTGGTTGGTTTAGGTTCGGGTTTAGTCTTTTTTTTAGCTGGCGACGGTGGTTTTCTCTTTCTGGGGTTCATGAATATAGTTGGCTGAGGCTTACGTCGTTTGATGGGTCGCTGTGTATCATTTGGTAGTTGCTCTGGAGGTGCCGCTGGTTGCGGCGTCGGGTCTGGTGGCGATGGCTCTGGTGGCGATGGCTCTAGAGGTAATGGTGCAGGTGGTGGAGGAGGAGCACGACGGGGAGGTTTTGGTGTCACATTTCTATATTTAAAAGCATCGTAAGGATCGTACCTTTTGTTAATCGGTTGATTTGAATTTTTAAACATTATTGACCGATGTTGTATGTCTCTTTTAGCCTTATTCAAGATTGAATTTTTCTGGGGATTTGAATATTGTCTACTAAACCCACTAGGAACCCTATTTCTTCGTACAGTTGGATCTTTCAATAATTCAGGAACTGAAACAATTGAATTTGCCAGTTTTTGTAGCTTTAATTTTTCAGTTATATTTCTTAATCTTTCCGCCGAATCTTTTCTAAAGTTATCTCGATCTTTTGAATATTTGAAATATAATGATTTATTTGGCATTATAGTATTATTAATACTGGTAGCCTTATCATATAATGGACGATCAGGGAAATCTTTCCCAATCAATTCTATCCATAAACAGTCTGATTCTGGGATTATTGTTGGACTTGTCACTTCAACTAGATCCAATTGTTTTGCATTCATTTTCTTCAATATCGGCTTAACCAAATGAAATGGAGTTGTTCCAACATCACTTAATCTTGAAACGTTCTGAATACATTTTTTTGTTGCAATTTCAACTAATGTTGGTAATCTTGAACGGTATTTATCTGATGATACATCAGACATTCTTGGATATCAGTGAAACAACAATCATATAACCACTTTTGAGTTCCAACACTCTATTACTAAGACTTATTCAATATTCTTATCTAAATCATGAGATATCTCTTCCTACAAAGGTGTTTTAGATAAGTAACAGACAGAAAAAACTCTTCGTGATGGTTTCTGGCTGGTGTATGGGTGTATAAGGAAGGAATCTGGGTGGTGCACTTCTTTTTTGCAGTCCTATAATCCTTTGCCTGTCTTCCAGTCTGTCTTTCTGACTCTTACGGGGGATTGCCTTTCTGACTCTTACGGGGGATTGCCTTTCTGACTCTTACGGGGGATTGCCTCTCTGACTCTTACGGGGACTGTCTTTCTGACTCTTACGGGGGACTGTCTATTGGCACAATAACGAGTGTATACGGATGACTAAGTGTGCTTTCCTGATAAATCATTGGAAAAAAATTTGCTGAGAACATTATCGAGGCTTAACCAGAATATATATATATCGATATTTTATAAAGTTCTTCTTTAAGCTTTATTTTAGTTAAGAATCCAGGGCTTAGGTTTGGTAGGCTAAGTAATTGAGTATATTTATCACCAACAGTCCACACCTTCATTAACTTACAGCGATACATATGCTCAACCAACAAGTATTTGCTTTCAATAAACCATGCACCAAGTCGAACATACCGAGTTTGCAATAAGCACGGCACCGACTCCACCGGCTGCTTTCCCAAGTCTCCTGCCGGTATGCTCCACTAAGTGCTAATCGGACGATGATGCAAATGAAGTAGGTAGCCAACACGGTGGGTACGGGTGTGCAGCCCGAGTTGCAGCCATTCAGTAAACCCGTCTCATGAATACTTTGCAGTGTATCCATTGTATCTCCAGTATATCTATTGTATCTACCACTGTACCTATTGTATCTACTTGATTTACAGTGTATCTATTGTACCGACATTATGTAATGCTGGTAATTGTATACTTGAGCCACCGGGTATTGAGCAGTAGGTGTCGTCGTGCGGTGTACGGATGCAGCCTTGGCCGGCCTCGGCTTTCGGAATTAACCAGAAAAATGCAATCAGAACGGGGATTTAACGCTTTTGGTCTGAGCCGAAACACCCACGGCTAATAAGCGTTTTACCAGTTCGGCCGAGACACTTCCCATATTCCAACAAAACCAACTACGTGGACCAAAGACTTCGTCAGGATATAAAGATAGGAAGAGGCCGGGGTTGCAAAAAAGCAAAGAAGAAGGCTTGACAGCAAAAAAACAGTAGCGGAACACGGAAACAGAATAACGGAACAAACCACAACAATAGCTTATAAAGAGAAGAAGAAGAGAAGAAAAAAAAAAAAAAAACTTTTCGTGTTCAGGTACTTTGTAAGCAAGAGAATTGGGCAAAAATTTATAGTAAAAGCTTTCTTTTGGAACATTATATTGGTTCAGATAGTTGAGTAAATATTCAGAAGATGTTTAGTAAGTTAAAGAGTAAAGATTCTAAGGCTAAACTTAGTGCAGCTGAGGAAAAACATAAGGCTGTTAGTGAAAATAATGAATTGATTTTAGTTCCATTCACCGAGCCATCATCCAAGTCGAAGATCTTAGCGGAAAACGAATTAGATGAATCCCAGAAAGAAAAATATATAAAAGTGTATCAGTATTTTATTAAAGATGATTTGAAAGTACCAATTAGTGAGGAAAATCATAAGCATAAAGATGAAAGCAAATATGAAGGGTTATTGGATAGTGAGAAAGCTTGGTTAACTAGAGAATGTTTTTTACGTTATTTGAGAGCATCCAAGTGGGATTATGAAGAAGCAATTGATCGTATTGAATTGACCTTGGCTTGGAGAAGAGAATTTGGAATTAATAAGAATTTTGATGGTGATAATGAAGTTAACGGAGAATTAACTGCAGAAGAGAATGAAACTGGTAAAGAAGTCATTTTAGGTTATGACAATGATTCCAGACCATGTCTTTATTTGAAGCCAGGTAGACAAAATACCAAGCCATCTCAAAGACAAGTTCAACACCTTGTTTTAATGTTGGAAAAAGTTATTGATTTTATGCCTTCTGGTCAGGATTCATTAGCTTTATTAATTGATTTTAAAGCACATTCAATTGGAACTCAGGGAGGGAAAATCCCTCCAATGAATATCTCAAGACAAGTTTTACACATTTTACAAACTCATTATCCCGAAAGATTAGGTAAAGCTTTATTAACAAATATTCCTTGGTTAGGTTGGACTTTTTTAAAAATTATTCATCCCTTTATTGATCCTTTAACTAGAGAGAAATTGGTTTTCGATCAGCCATTCCCAAATTATGTACCAATCGAACAATTAGATAAAGATTTTGGTGGTGATGTTAACTTTGAATATAACCATGAAAAATACTGGCCGGAAATGTTAAGACTTGCCGATCTGAAAAAACAAAAATACATTAAGCGTTTTGAAAAATTCGGTTCGAAAATTGGTTTATCAGAAGTTGACTTGAGAGGTAATGCTGATGAATTAAAATATCCTTTACCTCAATTATAATCTTTCAATTCATGTCAATATTATTATAGATTCTATTCATTTTGGTCACTATTTAAATATATACATAGTTTTTTCTTTAATTAAATGGTTTGGCACATTTTCTATTTTCAATAACCCCAGTCTCTTCACAAATCATGGTTTGCCAATCAATAGCATACATTAACCCTCCGGCGCCTCCTTCACTTTTAGCAAAAATTACCCCTAAATCATTTCTAGCGGTACTCAAATAATAATTAGAGCCATCTCCTAATGAAATAACTTCTGCTCTCACTATATCTCCTGGTTTAAAACATTCAATAATCTTTAATTTATCTCGTTCTGTAGATCTAATATCATTCAATCTAATTATTCCTTTGAAAGTCTCCCCTAAATCACTTGATTGGGCATTCAACAAGGTAGATTGGCTTGATGCAACTGTGGTATGTGAACTTATAGGTTGTGATCCCCCCCATATAGGTAAAGATTTATGAGCAACTTCCCCAATGGTTCCAACTCCCGAATCGCTAAGTACATTACCATGTCCTTCAACCGTTAATATTTCCACATACGCTTGCTGTAAATTTAATCTTGTCACTCTTACTAATACTATATCTCCTTCTTGTGGTAAATTTATCGATATAGAATCTTTGGCAATCTCAGTTGTATTCATTAAAATTTCCTTCTCATATTCAATATACGTATTGGATTTCGGCATAACCGTCACTAAAAAACTCTTAATGCTTGGTTCTCCTTCCTTCTCCTCGTCGTCATTATTCTTATCTGTTAACTTTAATTCTTGGATGACTAATTGTCCTAAAATCGTGGAACTGATCACTGGAATCGTCTTAATCTCTTTGGAATCTACTTCAATATTTAATATTGTGGTCCCTTTCCCGGATATGTACTTCTCCACAACATTCTCGGATGAGCCATCCTGTAACTTATAAGTGGGTTTTATATACTGGCCCGGTATCACGTATTTAGACATGTTGTATGCTTAATAAAGGTGTATTAATGGCTTCTACTGCTCATCTTATATTGAAAAAATGCAATAAAAAAAAAAAAAAAAAAAAATTAAGAACTGGCTGCGTGCAGGTATCGAAAACCCATCAACAACTGTCCTACTTGCTTAAACATATTTCGTTTCACCTGGACAAAAGCTACTACAATTGTTCATTAGATACAATGTCTGTCGAATACCCGGCATATGTTGACGGTAAACCTCCAGTTCTCACTCTTTCACAATACGATTTGGCCTCGTGGGCTCCTTCTACTTGTGTTGACAGAAGAGATGGTGGTTATTACATAGTTGTTACTGAAAAGCCAGATACTGTTGTTGCTAAGGTTGATGATAATGATAAAGATACTTTGGATGCAATTTTCCAAAGTGCTCATGCTGATTATTCCAATCAGCTTAATGAACAGAAGTAAAGCAGCTAAAGTTTAGTTAAGATTGTATATTTTTACAATAAATCAATTTTTTGTTTAACTAAATGAAATGTAAATGCAATTGGTATATAAAACGTCAAGAGGAACTAAATATAAAACTATGTAATTAAAAGTCTGTAAAGGTGAGTAGTAAAAATTAAGATATTTAATGTAAAAAATGTGCTTTTCAATGTTGAAAGAAAATAAAATTAAGAAAAGAATGAAGTAGAATTAAATGAAATGAGTATAACAATGTGATTCTTCATGAACTTCCATTTCGCTCTTTAACAAATTGATTTCTTCTTTGATTTGTTGAGCTAATAATGGAGTCAATTGGTTACAAGTTGCTGTATCTGGATGTCTATCATATTCTTCACCATTATAAGTATCATATAAGATAATTCTTGAAGAAAATCTGACTCCATCTTTAAAGGATAAAGGTTGTGTTTTAATTGGTCCAAGTTTAGGCGAGGAATATGGTGAGTTATTGGATTTTTTGATTTTAGATATTATTGAACTAAAGGATCTAGGACTTGAACTGCTAGTGTCCGATAATGAAGGAATCTTGTCATGATGATAAGGATGGTTTGGTGGTGGTAATGTACCGTTATTAGATCTTTGGGAATAACTATTTGAATTTCCGAATTTTTTACTATTATTACTTGAAATCGAACCAACATCACTAACTGATTGTTTCATATTGCTAGCGGAAATACTATTGGATAATTTTGAATTTGAATAAGCCTTGGGGTTTGATGAACCCAAATTTTCTTTATCGGATGCATCATCACTATCAAAAGCATCATCTAATTCCGATCCAAACCCACCGCCAACGCCTCCAAATTCATCCTCAGTTGAATCATCTCCAAAAGAGATATTAAAAGATTGATGAGAATCACTGCTTCTAATATCATGCAAGGCAAGTTTACCACCAAAAGAAGGACCTTTCAATCCTTTGAAAGACATTGAGATCGGTCTATTATTGAAATCACTCTTTCCATTTTCATCAATATTTACAGTATTATTAGAACTATCTGAGAGACGATTGGTTGAAGTTTTATAGGCAGTTTCCAAGATTGGTGATTCCTCTAATGGATTAGGCCCTTCAATTATTGACTCAGGAGATTGAGGTACTTCTTTATTAAGATGACTATTAGGAGTTTTCTTATTCAAAGTCTTGACTAAAGATTCGTCATAAGAGTCACTACCTTCATTATCAGCTAATAAAGTAGACTCGTCCTTGGAATTATTATCCAATTTGATGACGGGAGAGGGAGATAATTGATTTTGATCAGTTTGACTAACTGGTGGAGTGCTTAACAAAGAAGCAGGTGGTTGATTTAAACCATTTTTCAATTGGTTAGCTGAGTCAGGTGGTGATAAATGTTGAGGTCTTTTGGTGACCGATTCCGTTGGAGATGGATCTTTTGGAGAATTAGTAAAATCTAAATTATCAAGATCAATGAAATCAGCAAAGTCAATGAATTGTTGATAGTTATTATCTTCTGTTACGTCATCAACTGTTTGGATGGTATCATCTTTGGATAAAATATTAGCATCGATAGAATTCATTGAAGCATCTAAAGGATCAACTTTCAAGTTCTTCTTTGAGTGGGAATTCTTTAAGATACTGCTTGATCTCTTTATACCATTATTTGGTTTGGAAATTGGCATATTACTACCATGAATGATATTTTCGTCACTACCATTATAGTTAGCAAAAGAGTTACGTTTATTTCCAGCATTATTGGAGCCAATAGATTTCATAGATCTGGATCTTTCCAAAGAAACAATACTTTCAACTTCTTGAACGCTGAGAGATTTTGGAAAAAGGGCTTCACCGATTAATTGATCATTAATCTTTGAAGAGCTTGAATCCAAATGTTTTGGTTGACTTGGAATTTGGGATTCAACAATTCTTGGGGTATTAATATTGGAAGAATCGTAGCTGACATCGAATGGAGAACCAAATATATCATCATCATTGTCGAAAGTTTCTGAAGCTTTGTTATTATTATTCATTAAATGATTTGAGCTTAAAGGTCCTTTAGAAACATTCATTGCACTAGATGATGTTGGAGGATCAATTGACATTTCTTCATCGAATCTTCCGTTGCTTAATTTAGTTGGAGGATTATTTCTTAAATTAATTGAATCATCTTCATTATCCTTCAAGTCAGCCTGGCTTTCTATGTTTTGTTTTGGTTGTTTCACAGAATTACTATCATTATTATAAACAAGATTTGGGTTATAATCATCATCACTGACTTCTCTAATGAAATTTATGTTTGAATTTGATTTGTAAGCTTTGGAAGTGGTCAAATTGTCATGATTAATTGATAATTCGTCACCGACTTCAGAGGTAACAACCGGATCTTTATCAGCGACTTCATTTGTTTTTTCATCGTTAGCCAATTTTTTACCCAAAGTGTCAGTCGATTTATTTTTTTTGAAAACATTCAAAATTGACGAAGAAGAAGAGGACTTATTCAAAGGAGGATGAACTTGAGATTTTTGAGGAGAGTTTGGAGCAATTGATTTTGAATCATCATTTTTCTTACGATTTTTATTTCCAAATAATTTTTTCTTCTCGGTGGATGCTGTAGCAGTAGTATTTGTTGTTACAATACTAGTTGGGGAAGATCCAATTTCAGTGAAATTTGGAGTAGAAGCAGATTTATTTTTCAATTTTTTAGGCTGAGAAGGTAATTCTAAATTTGAATTATTGTTAGCCTTTTCATTTAAACTATGATTTTTTGATTTCAGTTTAAATAAATTTCTAAAGCTAAATTTTTTAGAAGATGATTTAGTAGTTGTTTCAGATAATTTACTTTTTTTGGTAGTGGGAGGTTGAACTGAAGACATGCTAGTACCACTACGAATACTTTGGTTATCATTAAAAGAATATTTGTTCAAATCGCCTAAAGTGTTGGATCTTCTATGTCTTCCGGGGATTTCGGGTTTTGAGAAAGGCGAAGATGGATTTTTCAAAGAAAAAGTTGAATTTGATCTTAAATGAGGCGATTTTTTATCACTTTGAAAGAATGATTTAGGAGTACCCAATAATTCATTTGTACTTATAGTATTCACAGTATTGATAGTATTTGGGGTATCATTTAAGGAATCAAATTTTGAAGAACCAGAATATTGTTGAGGAGTTGAAGGTTTAAATTTTGAGCCATTAGTTAAGATTGAAGTATTACTTGGTCTTCTACCCGATTGCTGGATTGTTTCAGAAGATTTAATAGGAGGAGGTTGAGGAATTGAAATTTTGGGAGGATATTTATTTGAAAATGATGAATTTGAAGGAGAAGGTAAAGAATTATCATTATTAAAATTATTTGGTTTTCTTAAACCATCATTATCTATAGAACTATTATTAGTTAAAGTAATAGAACTATTATTATTTACAGTTGAAGAATAACTTGGAATTCTTAAATTTGAAGAATTAATCTCATCAGAATTAGGTTTTTTCAAAGAATTCTCATTAATCAAAGTATCATCTTGTTCTGAAGAATGAGCAAGATCATTTAATTCATTTTGGTTATTAATATGGTCAAACTGAGATGGTTCACTAATGATTTTAGGAGAATAATCTTTATTAGTTGATTTCATGGTATAAAAAGTAGCTGGTTGAGAAAGAATTGGAGTTTCATCACTAGTACTATAACCTTCATCAATGGTTGTAATTGAAGATCTTTTAACGTTATTTGATTGGGGTTGGAAAGATTCATCAAGGGAATCACGAGAAGTTGATCTTGCGGTTTGGAAAGTTTGAACCGAATAAGTAGAAGCTCGATTAGTATCAATTGATTGATTATTTAAAGATAAAGATGAAATATTTACTGGATTTTGAGGATCAACCTCTTCATCATTTTCATTTATTAGTTCTTTAATAGTTGACGAATTTTTAGTAGAATTGTCTTTTGAAGTTAAGATATGTTCTAAAGCCTTCATTGATGGAGAATTTTTCATAAAACTGGTTCTTTCGGATTGAACTTGATATGGATTAACCAGGGGCTTAGATTTTTTTGGTAAAAAGGGGTTATTAGAATTCAAATTAGTGGAAGGAATTTGAGAATCTTCACTAACTGATTCTAATAATGAAAATTCTTGTGGATTCAAATAACTGGTGTTAATTGAATTGGATGATATCGAATTGGGTATTTTAACTGATTTTCTTAAATTAGTTAAATGGTCTGATGAAGAAGATGAACTTATAGGTTTTGGAAATGAATAAAAGTTATCATTCAAGAGGAGTTCCTCTAAGTTATCATCTTGTTTCGTCATTTTTCCAGGTTAAAATTTTTTTCTTTTGTTCTCTTTTTTTTTTTTCGTTTTATTAGATTGTTTGTTTAGCTTTGTTCAAATATTTGCCTATTTGTTATTAGTTGAGCTATTTTTGTATCGGGATGTAGGTGTTGACGTTCACACAAGGGACTCCTAAGATATGACGAAACCGATTCCCACTGACGAGATGAGAGAATAAAGTTCAACGAAAAGGCTGTTTTTTCGGTCTCGCTTTTTGAGTAATTCAACGAGAAACACGAAATTGCCTTTAACAATAGCAAACGAGCCCAAGGACTAAGACTGATTTGATTGGTAAGAAAGTAGTTTTGAAGAATAAAGCCCAGGATGGAAAGTTGAGCTGGTGGATCGCAAAGATTCGTAATGAGCAGGTAGGGGATGTTGTTAAGCAAGTACAAGGGTTGTTAAGTGAGTAGGGGGGAACGTTGTAAAGCGGAAATTTAAAGGAGGTACTTCGAGTACTCGAAAAAAAAATATCACTGTCGGGTAATGAACTAATTGGACAGGACCTCTGGATATGGTGGGATCGTTTAATTAGTCGGGGACGAAGTTACGGTTGTGGGAAGTTAACGAACGAATGTAACAACCAGTCCAATGGAATCAATAAAGATTTTTAACAACAACAAATAAAAAAAAAAAACAAAAAGACTGGTGAAAAAAGGTCTCAGTATACAAGATGTAGGTATAAGAGGATATATATATTGGGTAAACCCTTGAAGCAAGGAAGAAAATGGTGATACACAAAAGCTGTGGTACCAGTGCTGGATTATATGGGTACCAGCGGGCGAACAATACACGATATTCAAACACGGTACGGTTGTCCCTGGTTTACACGAATGGAAGGGGGAGGAAGTTGATGAAGAAGGTGACGCGTCGACGCGTTTGCACCCGTGCACCTACAGTTTTTTTTATAAATCTAAATGGTGTATTGATAAATAGGTCACATGATGACGCAGTTTCTCTTCTTTTTCTTTATGGTGGAGCTAGAAGAAGAGAAGGTAGCGGTTGAAGGATCTCTTTGATGGCTGATGAAGGAGTCCTGGTGGAGCATGGTTGGTTTTTTCTTTGTTGCCGTGGGATTAAAGCTATCGTAGGAGGTTGAGTAGTTTGCGGAGGTGACTCCGGTTGAAATGGAGGATCTTTTATCTAAGTCCAACAGGTCATCGGTGGAGAACCTTGAATCTTGATAGTCTTTATTAAATTTGAGCACTGGATCGATACCAAATTGTAATAAGGAATTAGATAAATAGAGGTATAGTTTAATCCATAAAATTTCTAATTCTCTAGTAAATTTATAACCAAATCTTTCGTGGAAAGTTTCAATGAGAGCTTCACCCATTAATTCAAATTGACTTGGTTCAATACCTAAGATTCTAGAATGTCTTTTACCTAATTTATTTAGATAATCATCTAAATTAGATAAGTTTTCCAATTGGGTAATAGCAAAACTCATCACCCCGGCAAAGGCCACTGCCTGATGTTTTATTGAAGGGAACAATTTTTCTAACTCGGGACTCATTGATAATAGATTTGAATAAAACTGTCTACAAAATAACGAGCTGGCAATGGTGGATGCGTTATTTTTCTTGAACAGACCGGGGATCTTTCCACTGACACTATTTTCTTCATCCAATAGCATTATATTCCAAGTGTATCTAATTAATTCAATTTCCTTTTTATTTAAATTTAAATTCACTTTATACTGTGATTGTAATGAATAATTTGAATTAATTGATTTATTCGATTCGATTCTGATTAACTTATAACTGTCTTCCAACACTTCATTTTGTTGGGTATTGGTTTGATATAGCGCTGGTATTGGTGGTGGATGATGATACGATATGTTTGTTGATTGGGGAGATAACTGGTATTCATTGCCAAACCCCAGTATCGTTGGCGATTTCAAACTTGGTGGGGTATTTATGGCTTTGGGAATACTTATATTTGACAAATTTGATACATTTCGGTTTCTTATTGGATTAAGATTCGATAATCTCGACGCCCTGCGGTTTTGGGATATAATCGATTGTTGATCAGAAGTATGGATTGGGGAATTTTTAATCATACTTAGCTGATACTCTGGGAGAAGAAAAAAAAAAGGTTGAAACTAGGTATTAAGTAGTTTAAAGAATGAAAGAATGGAAGAATTAAAAAAAGAGACTGTTATTATCTAAAAACAAACAAAAAGACGAAGAAGCTTTGCTAGCCGAAACAATCAAATTTAAGAATTAAAGTTATCGATGTATACATTTATATATATATACTTAGATCAAATGTTTTAACTAGATTTGTAAAATGTATGATGGGCTATTGATATAAAAAATTTTCAATACCCTTTATTAAGTAAAGAATGTGAAAATTGTAAAAAAATCGTATAGCCATAAAATGAGCTAACCTCAGCTCACTTTGCTAAAAACAGGTAAATCTAGCATTACATCCGGGGTTACTGTAAGTGAGTGCCATGTTCTGGAACTGGTAGCTCCAAGATCTCCATCGGGTGCCTCACTACAGCTTTTCTAGCCCTTGGCCGCCTTGCCATTCCGTGTTAATGCTCGGGAACCAGCTACTCAATCTGGCAGATTCCGCACCGGACCGGTCAGCTTGTCGTCACGTGCTTGTCAGGTGAACTCTCACGTGCAACACTCCTGGGTGTCTGGGTGTATTTTCCTCGGTTTCTGTTTCGGTTCTAAACCCGGTTCTGTTTATGTTTTGGTGTTGGTGTAGTCTCTTTTTTTTGGGGGGGGGGGGAGGCAGTCGTGGCGCTACCCAGGGCTGTCCGGGCAGTTTTGTGCCCGCCCCTCCGGAAATACCAGATTGGATTTTACTGAACGTCGTGCCGTACCTTGCTAATACTGTTACAAAGTTTATATTTTAATAACGGTGTCTAGTTGAAAGCTTAATACCACAGGGGGATCTTTCCCATTTGTAGTTGTCAGCATAACTCTTTTCAGCTGTTTACAAGTGCGTGCATTACTCTTGGGGACCATCAGACCAAACCATGAGCCAGTATAAAAGGAAATTACAGAAACAAACAGCATAAGCAGGATCTCTTAAGTGCATTTTCCCACAATGCTATTGATTGCTTGCTTGCCTAACTTAATTTGTAAAATAAGCTTTCGATTGTTAGATTAAGTTAACTCCTAAACTGACTTATTGAACCCCTACAAAGTAGAGCAAGTAAAAGTTTATCTTTACATGGTAGTCTTTATAAGAACTAAATTAATTATTATTAATGGTAATTATACAATACTAACTTCTAGTAAAACAAAAAGAATGAATAAACAAAATGGTGAATTGAAAGAATCTAATTTTTCGGGAAGTTCTCGCATGGTTTTTTTTCTTTTTTTTTTCCTTTCTTTTTTTTTTTTTTTTTNTTTTTTCTTTTCAATTTTTTTATGGGTCTTTTTTTGTTTTTTTGTTTTTTGAATATGTCATTTTCTTTTCATACTTGGAGAAATCCGAATTAGAAGCTGTAGAAGCAAATGGGAATGGGGAAACAAAAAAATAAAAATTAAGTAAAAGCAAGACAATCAACAATGAAAAAAATATCTTCAGATCCAACTTGGAGAAAAGCAACACCGTCATATCAGCAGCAACTGATTAAATGAAAATAATAAACCCAAAGAAAACCCTATATTAAAGTATCAACACAAAAGACAAGAAAGAAACATTATTATTATAAAACAAAAAAAATTAAAATGAACAAAATTAAAATTCTAAGTGAGCGTCACTCAGTGGGATTTCAGTATAGTAACTTTGTAGAGCTCTGGTTAAAGCAGGTACCAATTTATCCCATCTCAAAATACGAACTTCTTTATCAAAGCCTCTTGGTTTTCTGATTTCGTAGCCCATAATTCTTTTAGCCAATTCAACTCTATAATCTTGATTGGTGGGTAATCCGCCATTCATAATTGGAGAATTTGAGTCATTATCCATTCTGGAGCTAATTGATTTTTTGGACCAGAACGGTACCAAGTTACTTCTTACTCTTCCTCGTTCTCTTCTTCTTTGAGCAGGATCTTTTAATTGGGTACCAATTAATAATTCCACAATTTCAACAACTTCAACACTAGTAATGTAATATTGATAAGCCTCTTGTTCGTTGCCAATATAACAGTCTTCACTTGATGGACTACTAATATCATAATCATCATTTAAGCCACCGTGATTGTTAGGAACAACAGAACATTCTAAACAACTGACTTCAACAACATCAACATCAACATCGGCAGGTAATGTTTCTGGATGTTCTTCTGCACTTCCAATTATTGAAAAATCAACGCTTAATTTAGGTCCATTTTGTCTTCTTTCAATTCGTATGATACGGCGACGATCCTTCTTTTCGGAGTTTGACCATTTGGGATAACAAATATCTTCCACACCGGCTCCCTTTAATTCTAATTGAACCGGTAAGAAAATTGAATCACTTTCAGCTGATTGTTTTGGTGGTCTAGTAGAAGATCCTCCGGCAGAAACCCCTCTGATGACACGATATCTTTTTTTACCAGTAGCACTAACTACTGGGTTATAACTTTCATATTCAGGGCTTTCTCTCTTAATGTAACTTGGTGGTAATAATGAACTGGTGGAACTTTGAGAAATTGAATTAGCCATAGGAGATGCAGTATATTGTGGTTGTGGAGCTGGCTGAGGAGCTGGAATTGTTGGAGCAACTTGTTGATACGATGGTTGGTATGTAGATGGATTATTATAATAATAGTTATTCAAGTCAATATTATTTTGATTACTATTATCAAAGGAATTCACCGATATTAACAGATTCAGTTGAATTGGTTGAGATTGATTTGAATAATATCCAGTATTATCAATTTCATTACCTTCAAAAAATGATTGAATTGATGATGTAGATAATAATGAAGAATCAGTATTCATTTGATTATTATATGATGCATAATAATCATTTGGAATAGCTTGATTTCCATTATCAAGATTGAACCCATAATGACCATGATCATATGAATGTCCAGCATTCATATTGGTTTGGTTATTATAAGTAATTGGATTCATTGGAGAAATAAAATTTCCCAAAGCAGGTTCTTCCATTACTGCATTAGCAAAAGTAGAAGCAGCAGCAGCAGCAGCAGCAGCAGTGGCAGCAGGAGTAGCAGCAGTACTAGTAGTAGCATTACTGTTTGATGTTTGAGTGGTAGAATTAGTTTCATCAGTAGCTGATAATAATGGGAATTCAGCATTAAAATGATTCAAATCAGTGGTTGGGTCTAGCATTATGGAACTTTTATGAATTGGATTTGGGGTTGAAGGGAAAAACATCACTTCTGATAAAATTGAAAAAAAAAAATTAGACAAGATTAAAAATTAAAATAAACTGAAAATAAACTTTTCCAACTCGATAATTACAAAGCTTCAATATACATATATTTCAACTTCCTAAATCAAAGAGGAGTACGAAAGCAATCACCGGCGGAAATCAGGTGGAGAGTAAAGTTATAATTAGACAATATATAATAATGAAAGAACAGAAATATCCAGGTTTAAAAAAAAAAAAGATGATTATCAACTTATTATATACTTTATTCAATGCTAGCTGAAGGAATTAAGAAGCTTCTGTTCATTTGCAGTACTTCAGCGTTATTTTTTATTTTTTTTTTTTTTTTTTTTTTTTTTTTTTTTTTTTTTTTTTTGTTTTGTTATATTTTGTTTTGTACTGCTTGTACAAAAGAAAAGTAACAAAATGCTGTAGTAATAATATTATGTGGATATGAAAAAAAAAAAAAAATTATACATTGCATATAATTATATGAATAAAAAAGAAATACAATAAAATACTCTTTTTAACAAGGGGATTATTCTTTCTCTTCCCTCACTTTAGAGTTACGTTTGCCTATTGTACGTTTATTTTTTCCAATCCGCTCACTCATATACTTTAACCCAGCTGCATCCATTACAGACACGCCCACGCAAAAGATTCCATGCATTGCCTATTCACGGAATGATTTGTGGTGCAGAATGACCTGGCTGCACTTGACGGAAAAAAGGTATTTTAAATTTTGTCTTGTTTTTTCACGTTTGTGTTCATTTGGGAAAATTAATGAGTGAGTTCTGTCAGCTACCAACTGGTATCGCCAATTCTTGACAGGGAGATTTGATTCAGCTTAAACCTTCGATGCATATACTGTAAGTTATTTTTTTTTTCTTCAACCTTTCCTTCCTTTCTGTTGCTCTGCTACACTAGGTTGAGACTACCGAGGTTCAAAACATTCAATTCATGACTATCTGTATCCTACAAATCATTACATTGACGATCATTTGTCATATCTTTGACTTATTCGTCTAATAGATAAGTCCGATTAACTTTGGAGAAAATTTGATTTTTGTCTCTTCAAGTACAAAAAAATCATTGTTGATTGACAATAAGTACAAACCCTTTTATTTATTTCCCGCAATACAAACTTGTTTGATTGTTTACCTAGAATAACTCGAGTAGCAGGCATTGCTTGTTCGACAGCAAAACAATCAAACCAGTGAAAATGATTAAAGCAAGTCATATTAAAGTAATCATAATAAGGGAATTTTGGTTGTTCATTGACGAAAATTAACTAGGGACATATTTGTAAATCAAAAAATCGAATGCTTTTATTAACTATATTCGTTAAATATTTTCTCAATTTAGTTACAAAATAAACATTCTTTAATAGATGTCCGTCTTCTATTTCTATTCTTTTCCTTTCTTTATTTTTTTGCATTATTCCTGGCTTTTCGACAAAAGTATTCTGTTACGACAGTAACTGCTCAGGTTAGCCCATTCAACTTTATCTTTTTGCGGATATAAACCTCAATCACTGACCAATAATACCCGAATTAAGGCCAGTTTGTCCGCACCACGCGTTAAGCTTTCCTTTCTGCCGCTTATGTAAGCACGGCCACACCCGCACAAAGACCTTGCATTTGGTTTTTGTCCTCGCCCAATCCAGAGCACTGACCCTTGTACATTCTTCACTTACATCCACTTACTCAAAATATATACGTTAACGAAGAATATCTACGAATTAATTCCACTGGATCAGCCACGGGCATGTGAATTTGTTTCGGGCAAACATCACGTTCTACTAATTTATGTACATTTTGTATATTAGTCTTTATTTTTTGATTCGCTCATGGGGGTGTATTTTTTTATAACATCACCAGCGGAAATGCTAAAGTTGGCTGCTGGCGCAACTTTATTATTTGGGAAAAGGACGGGATAGTATATTTAGACCGGTTTTATGAATTGCCCTCAGTGAGAAAAAAAATGAGATAATCGATATTCATGTCTAAACCTAATCAAATATATGTCAAAGATAAACAACCTCCTTCAAAGAAGTCCACGCATATGGGGGCAATGTCCAAGTTAGTAAGCAGAGGAAAAAAAAGAAAAACACTGAGCTGAGTCGTGGTTCGCAACCGCACACTTATTAATTATTATAAATTTGTCGTTCAATTTTTACCTGTTTTGCTTTTGCTTACTATTGCAGCAAATAAGTGTTCTTTATTTTTTTTTTTTTTCTTTCATTTTTATTTTTTTTTTTCTTCTTCTTTTCTTCTATTTTGTTCACCAAGATAAATCCTTTTGTGTCATACGTTAGTGNTTTTGTACTGCTTGTACAAAAGAAAAGTAACAAAATGCTGTAGTAATAATATTATGTGGATATGAAAAAAAAAAAAAAATTATACATTGCATATAATTATATGAATAAAAAAGAAATACAATAAAATACTCTTTTTAACAAGGGGATTATTCTTTCTCTTCCCTCACTTTAGAGTTACGTTTGCCTATTGTACGTTTATTTTTTCCAATCCGCTCACTCATATACTTTAACCCAGCTGCATCCATTACAGACACGCCCACGCAAAAGATTCCATGCATTGCCTATTCACGGAATGATTTGTGGTGCAGAATGACCTGGCTGCACTTGACGGAAAAAAGGTATTTTAAATTTTGTCTTGTTTTTTCACGTTTGTGTTCATTTGGGAAAATTAATGAGTGAGTTCTGTCAGCTACCAACTGGTATCGCCAATTCTTGACAGGGAGATTTGATTCAGCTTAAACCTTCGATGCATATACTGTAAGTTATTTTTTTTTTCTTCAACCTTTCCTTCCTTTCTGTTGCTCTGCTACACTAGGTTGAGACTACCGAGGTTCAAAACATTCAATTCATGACTATCTGTATCCTACAAATCATTACATTGACGATCATTTGTCATATCTTTGACTTATTCGTCTAATAGATAAGTCCGATTAACTTTGGAGAAAATTTGATTTTTGTCTCTTCAAGTACAAAAAAATCATTGTTGATTGACAATAAGTACAAACCCTTTTATTTATTTCCCGCAATACAAACTTGTTTGATTGTTTACCTAGAATAACTCGAGTAGCAGGCATTGCTTGTTCGACAGCAAAACAATCAAACCAGTGAAAATGATTAAAGCAAGTCATATTAAAGTAATCATAATAAGGGAATTTTGGTTGTTCATTGACGAAAATTAACTAGGGACATATTTGTAAATCAAAAAATCGAATGCTTTTATTAACTATATTCGTTAAATATTTTCTCAATTTAGTTACAAAATAAACATTCTTTAATAGATGTCCGTCTTCTATTTCTATTCTTTTCCTTTCTTTATTTTTTTGCATTATTCCTGGCTTTTCGACAAAAGTATTCTGTTACGACAGTAACTGCTCAGGTTAGCCCATTCAACTTTATCTTTTTGCGGATATAAACCTCAATCACTGACCAATAATACCCGAATTAAGGCCAGTTTGTCCGCACCACGCGTTAAGCTTTCCTTTCTGCCGCTTATGTAAGCACGGCCACACCCGCACAAAGACCTTGCATTTGGTTTTTGTCCTCGCCCAATCCAGAGCACTGACCCTTGTACATTCTTCACTTACATCCACTTACTCAAAATATATACGTTAACGAAGAATATCTACGAATTAATTCCACTGGATCAGCCACGGGCATGTGAATTTGTTTCGGGCAAACATCACGTTCTACTAATTTATGTACATTTTGTATATTAGTCTTTATTTTTTGATTCGCTCATGGGGGTGTATTTTTTTATAACATCACCAGCGGAAATGCTAAAGTTGGCTGCTGGCGCAACTTTATTATTTGGGAAAAGGACGGGATAGTATATTTAGACCGGTTTTATGAATTGCCCTCAGTGAGAAAAAAAATGAGATAATCGATATTCATGTCTAAACCTAATCAAATATATGTCAAAGATAAACAACCTCCTTCAAAGAAGTCCACGCATATGGGGGCAATGTCCAAGTTAGTAAGCAGAGGAAAAAAAAGAAAAACACTGAGCTGAGTCGTGGTTCGCAACCGCACACTTATTAATTATTATAAATTTGTCGTTCAATTTTTACCTGTTTTGCTTTTGCTTACTATTGCAGCAAATAAGTGTTCTTTATTTTTTTTTTTTTTCTTTCATTTTTATTTTTTTTTTTCTTCTTCTTTTCTTCTATTTTGTTCACCAAGATAAATCCTTTTGTGTCATACGTTAGTGTAAGAACCTTTAAATAATTCGATGAGGTTTTGAGAAAAAAAAAATCACAACAATGCGAGCACTGTGCCTGTACCGGGGCTAATATTTTGTTCATGTCAATTCCTTCACTTGCATAATCCCTAGATGATGACCAAGGAATAGTCAACACTGGGCGTGAGCACGACCTCTTCTTATCAATTCTGGTAGTCACATCACTTAAAAGAACAGCCTCATTGACTGCAATTTATGAAATTTCGTGATTCAATCTAAATCCTCTCTACGAAACCTTCACTCACATATGTCATATTGATTCTTGTGTATTATAATAAACCCTGGTCCGATTAAATCGGATAGCGAAGAATTCTTAATCTACATGAGCCGACTCGTATAGGTATCTCATATCCTTAAACAGTCACTTGCTTCTTTTCTATATTTATTCATGTCTATAGATGTCTATCAATGTCCATGTACGTGAATTTCTGTCGTTTTGTCTCATGCTGTTGTTTTGTCTTATTCTGTTCTTGACTTTTTCTGTCGTTTTGTCCTTTGGCGTCTTCGTCTTGGTTTTGTCTCTTCTGCAACTGCTGTCTATTCTCCTAGTGCGGTTTTTTTTTTGTGGGTGTTGTCTTTTCCGCTGAATCTCTTTGTCTTGGTTGTGTCTTTTTCCACTGGTTTTGTCGATTTTGTTCGTCCGTTTTCGTCTTTCCTTTGTTGTATGGAGCCGGCTATTTGCTGCACCGGAGTAAGATCGGGTATGTTATTTTGTGCATTTATTTATCTTTGTTTCGTCCACCCAAAAGCATATTTTTTCCGTTAGGTACGTCCTCTAATGCAATTCTTTGCGAGGCACCACACTACTTTAAGGTTTACCAGTGTCGAACCTTAATTGTTACAAACGGTCGGTCAACGATACTGCAGCCATGCTAACTGCGCCCGATTATATTGCTATATCCACTTAATTATTTTGAATAATTAATGATTCGTAATTATTTTGACTGATGACTTTAGAAATCTTCTCTATCCTCCACTGTTTACGAACTTTCTTTTGGGTTTTCGTTCTCAACTACTATGACTTCTCTTTTTGTGTATTAGATATTTTCACTTCGTTCGATTCTAACTTTATTCTAAAAAGTTTATTCGTTCGTTTCATCTATTCCGTGCATGTCTAACCTTAAGCTGTTCGATATAGCCATCTTCCTTGATGTAGATGACTTTACCATCATCTTTTTCTTGCCCTGATTGTTCGAATATTTTCTAACTAGCCACTAAAGAAGCTTCCCTTTTGTTTTATCGAAAATTAATGAATGGCTCGCTTGCTACGTGATTTAGCCCCTGGTGTGTCTTAGACTCGGAGAAAAAAGAAAAATTTTTTGAAAATAAAAAATTGAGAACATCCCACGTGATGTACCCAACATCCGTACATTTGCAGAATGGCTCCATTTTTTTATTAAAGTTAATTTAAGCTTTAATTGCTTCCAAAGTTGCATTCCGAATAGCATAACTTCTTAATAACGTAAAATAGTATCTGTAAGATAGAGTTACCTTAATTTAATTTAATAAGGTTGGGTTTGCTCTCAGATTGAGAATGTTAACAATTCTATTCATCGTGACTTTATTTTACTGCAAAATCTTTAAGTTTGAACAATCGATATTTATTTGTAGGCTATTGAACCAGAAAAACATTCAATTAATTATTGTCTAGATTAAGAAATCTTATTAATATACGTTGGCTGCTAAATAAAATTGGTAAATACGCATAGCTAAACCCTAATAAGTTATTTATCATTGATAAGTTTATCGCAATCAGCTATATGTACGGAGGTTTTTCTTTGATCTGGGGTTTAAAACATCGTTTATTCAAGCTAATACTAGACTATAAAAAGCCAACTTTAATTTTTTTTATATTTTGGATAATAAGTTTTGAATAAATATCCGTCAACTAATATTAACCCAGTTATAATTGAAGCATGGGTGGCAAGGACAATCTTATTTTCTGATTTAATGCGATGTCTTTCTAAATAAGTAAAGTAACCAGCTACTAATCCACCTAATCCAACTAAAGCTTGAGTAATAACAACTGGATTTTTGATTTCTTCAACAATTGATTTAGAACTAGTAGTTTGAACTTTACTACTCAAGTCATTATAAGTATCTTTAACATACTTTATAAATTTGTTACAATATGATTCTCCTTGACGTTCAATTTCATCCAATTCTTTTCTAAAATCACCAACTGCTTCGTTAGCAACCTTCTTCAGTTTTTTAAGTTCTTCTTGACTTTCTTTTTTCAATTTATTGAATTCTTCCTCTGGTAATGTTTCAACATTACCATGAGGGTTAGTAGTGGACTTTACTTGAGGTGGGTTTGGTAATTTTTCGGCACCAATTGGTCCTGAAGAAGCAGCTGCATCAGCGTAAGAAGACATGATTATCGAATAGTTATTTCTAATAAGAATATATATGAAAGAAAGTTATAGTTGGTTATCAAGATGGTTTTTTGTTTTTTTCTATATATTGCCTACCAATTAATTTGCGCAGTATTTATATAAGGGGTTTAAACTGTAACTTGTGACCCATTTTTTGTTTCGTTTGTTCTTTTATCATGATCTATTTTTTCATTACTAGTTACGCAACCTTTTTTTGCTACCATTAGCATTGGGTATGTCTTCACAACGACTTGCACGGCCACTGCTCCCACGTCCACTACATCGACTGCTAGAAGACATCGTCTATTAAACTATTCAATCAAGGGGAGACTGCAAACTGTAAAAATGTAAAAGTAGTACGACCGTCTTTTGTTATTGTTGCTACTGTCTCGCCCTTGATTGCTCACTTTAAACTGACAAGCAGCTATACGCTATTTCCATCGATTGAGTGGCAATCACTCACTGACACTCTCGTCACTTGAGCAATACCCTTGTCTTGCCATTATCTCATTCACCAATCAGCTAATTCAATTCTCAAAAGGGTTAAATTGAGTGGTTCCACTTTTCTCCTTATTAACTGGTGCCGCGGGGGAACCTTTGTGGTGTACGGAGATAAGATCGATGTCGACATCCGTACATTCTGTTGTTTGGATGTTTTTATATTTTATTTCTTGGTTGGTTAGTCACGTGCGAATGTTCTTTCTAGGGCACAGCCCTAGGGTGCGAATGGGAACAGAAAAAAATTTTTGAAAAAATCGACTTTGTGAGGATACTCAATCCTGCTAAATTTTTTTCACTTCCTACCTCTGCTTCCTCTAGCGTTTTCTTCTCTTCATTAAATATTTATCGATTGAAAACCAACACCCCGGCTTTCCACGTAACATTCCGATAAATAATAATCTAGAAACAAAAATGTCTGCTCCAGAAGCCCCAAGAAGAAACTTTGGTAGAAACAACAGAAGAGGTGGTAGAAACAACAGAAGAGGTGGTGAAGAAAAAGGATGGGTTCCAGTCACCAAATTAGGTAGATTAGTGAAAGCTGGTAAAATTACTTCTATTGAAGAAATTTACTTACACTCTTTACCAGTTAAGGAATTCCAAGTTATCGATCTCTTATTACCAGAATTGAAAGATGAAGTTATGAAGATCAGATCTGTTCAAAAACAAACCAGAGCTGGTCAAAGAACTAGAATGAAGGCTGTTGTTATCATTGGTGACTCTAACGGTCACGTTGGTTTAGGTATCAAAACTGCTAAGGAAGTTGCCTCTGCCATTAAAGCTGCCATTGTTATTGCTAAATTATCTATTATCCCAATTAGAAGAGGTTACTGGGGTTCTAACTTAGGTGCTCCTCACTCTTTACCAACTAAGGTTACCGGTAAATGTGGTTCCGTTTTAGTTAGATTAATCCCAGCCCCAAGAGGTAAAGGTATTGTCGCTTCCCCAGTTGTTAGAAAATTAATGCAATTAGCTGGTGTTGAAGATGTTTATACTACTTCTTCTGGTTCTACTAGAACTACCGAAAACACCTTAAAAGCTGCTTTCGTTGCCATTGGTAACACTTACGGTTACTTGACTCCAAACTTATGGGCTGCTCAACCTTTAGCTCCATCTCCATTAGATGTTTACGCTGAAGAAGCTGCTGCTGGTAAAAGAAGATACTAAGTTATTTAACTAAATATTTTTGGTAAATACTTGTAATCTATATAAATCTTTTCATATTACCTTGTAGAATAAAAGTTTAGCTCTTATATCCCAATTTTGTAGTATCAGTTACTTATACAACTTTTCGCAGTAATCTATAATGCATGCATTATTATACACTCAATCTATATTACACGAAGCCTAGCTTCCTCTATCAACATCGTAACATTAACTCCTTATCAACGTGACATCATACTTCACCTTATTTTCGTAAATCGTAAATCAGCAGCACTACAAAAACCAAAAACCAAAAACCATAAGCATCACTGGATTAGAATTTCCTGTTAGAAGACTTCTTACTCTCAACCGAAAGCTTTGTAAAAGCTTTACAAGCACAAATGTTTTCGTCTCCATTCTTCTCAATGCTTACTTTTCAAAGTCTTGTTTCTATAGTGTTTTGTCTTTTTT